AAAAAAGACAAAAGAAAAAAAAAAAAAAGAATGACAATGTCCAGTTTTGGTGAGAATCAGAGAAAGGGGCATTTTTACTCACTTCTAAATGGATATAAATTAGTTTAACCTTCCCAAAGGTTTTTAATCAATAGTCTTTTAAGCACATTTATCCTTTGACTCAGCAATCCCAATTCTATGAACCTAGGTAAAAGATATAATCAGAATTGTATGAAAAGATGTCGGTACAAAGCAGGCAAATGTCTTGCATTAAAGAATTGGTTACGTTATTTTTATAGTCACATAACATTTTACAATTTACTCATTAAAAATTATTGTAGTATTTATTAATACGAAAAAATGCTACATGAAAAAATGGGCAAAATGACATGTGATTTCATTTGGTGTTGTAAGCAGTAAAAATATTTACACCCTTTACTCAAATCACAGGAATGATATGAACCAATAATGTTAGTTTATGTGGTTTCTATATTCTGTGTTTTTTAAATTTTCCTAAGTCTTCTGCACCAAGTATTATTTCTGAGATTTAAAATGCCATTAGATTATTTAATACCAGTAAACTATTTAATGCATGAGTGTCATATTATTAAAGTGTATAATTTATATCATTCCAGTTTTGACATGTAATATGTATGTATCTGTGAATTCAGAGAAATAAAAAACTGTAAGGAAAATTTTAAAAAGTAGTTCTGAGATAGTTGAACAAATTTTAACATACCTTTAAAATTATCTTTTATCACTGAGTATATTATGAGTAAAATGCACTTTTAATATGAAGTGTAATTATCTTATTTCTAGGATTTAAATAATTATTTTTTCTCATATTTAAGATGTTTTACATCAAAAGATGACTGAGACATGTGCCACTGCTCATATTGGTGGGGTAAATATTGTGCTGCTTGAAGGGATTACACCAAATATACAGTAAGTGTGTTGATTTTTATTTTCCTATACTTGTTTGTTATATTTTTAGGGAAAACTGAAAAACTCTTTGGATGAACCCATATCTGCTGAGTTTTGAGGTTTATATACATAATGATCCTAGATACTGAGATTCTGACTGTCATTAAGAATGTCACCAAATAAAATGTTTTTAGAAAGATGATTTTTTTTTCTAAAATTGATTTTACTACCTGTTTCCACCCCCTTAAAAGATTGTCTAATAACAAAAATGATAATCATACAAATTTCAGTTCAACGTACAAGATGTAAATATTCATGTAATTCAAGTAGTTAATTAAAACTAAATTACAGGCAAAGAATATAGATTGTCTCTTAATTTTATATTAAGTAATCATTACCCATATTCATGCTGGGTTTTAAAACTTACTCTTGTCATTTTTGTATTTAATGAATTTGACAATAAAGCCTATGAAATCCTTATAATAGTATATATAGGCCTCTTATAATGAGTATATCATATGCTTTTATTTTGACTCTTTGTTCTTACCCTTTCCTTATAAGTTTGGTTCTTGGATCTATTCAGAATTGTTTTGATGATGATTACCTTTATATGTGATATTCAGATCACTAATCTATAATTGATACATTTAACCATTTGACTTTGTTCATACCCTGGGTAATATATAACTTTGTTTCTAACTTCCTTTTGGTGGAACAGTTTTATGTTGTAACCACAAAATGATAAAGTTGTCAGATTTTGAGGATTTGCCCTTTCTTAATATTATAGCTAGTTAATGTTGTGCTATTCTTATCCTACAATGCATCCATCATGCTAAATGCTGCCTAAAAAAAGGATTTGATTCAGTGCTATAAAAATTACTTATTATTCATAGGTTGACTAAGAAGTATGATAAGTTATAGCTCTAAGTATAGTATTTTAAAAATCTGGATAACATGATTACTGTTTCAGGGAACATTTCCTGAAATGGATGTTTATAAATGAGCCATAGATTTCTGCAATAAATTTTGGTTAAAATTAGTAACCCTAGAGCCCATTCTTAAGACTTCCTGGAGACCATCTCAGGTTTAAGTCTTGCTGGAATCATTTGGACCTGTAAGTCTAGAACTAAAGATGGTATATTTCATAATAGGTGCCTAGTGTCCAGATCACATTTCCTAAACAATCTTTTCAAGAAAGACCAGTAAATTCCAGTGGTTGTGAGAGATAAGATCTTTCTCTGTTCATTCAATATAGGGGAGGGTGGTTATTATGTAATAATTACAATATTATGTTGCCCACTGTGGGCCAGGAGCCTCACATAGATTATTTTATTTAATCCTAACTGTGATCCTGTGAACTGGGATGGTTTCATCTCCATTTACAGAACAATAAGCTGAGGTTCAGAAAGATCAAAGTATTTGCCTAAAGTCAAAGTATATACTTAAAATCATACAGTCAGTAAGAAGAGATGACTGAACCTATACTCCTTCCACCTTACCGTGATGCTTTTGTGGAGTTATCAGACCATGAATTCCGTGATTCTTTTGTTGACTCTAAATTTGAAGTACCATGGTTACTTTAACCTATTCAGTAGATGTCCCATGTGTTTTATTTACTCTATCCTCTTATCTCCCTTATCCATTTTCTCTTAAGAGAAGGGCTTAAAGGGCCTCTAAACATGCTAAACATAATATTTATGAAACATTTTTAAAAAAAATATTATATAATTAAAATTTCTTGCCTTCCCCGCCCAAGTAAAGATCTGTTTATTTGAAAAATAAGTTATACGTAATCACTGACAAACTCATAGTGTTTAGAATTTTTGGATGTATTCTTTGGCATTTTATTTCCAATTGCAATTAAAAGGAAATGGATTGAAAAAAAATAGTTTAAAAGGTACTTGGAAGAAAAATTTTAAGAATGGGAAATTAGAAAAGATTTTGAGATAATTGGTCATATTGTAACTAATTTATGAATGAATGTTTATTTGCTTCCTTTTTGTTTTCCTGCTTTCTCTTGAATCTTCATCTGTAGACTGGAGGATTTTCCTACATCTCCTACAAGTACAGCCAAACAAGAGTTTCTGTATGTCATATTATGCTTTTTCATGACCTTGTGATTAACATAGTATTGAATAGTTTTAAAGATAAGTATTTAGTATTTAAGTTATCTATATGGCTGTGAATGTATGTAGTTAGTTAATGTCTTATAGCTTTAACATAGACCCTTTTGTAGATTAAAGTTTACTGGTATTCAAGGAACACACAGATAAGGACTATCTTTTGGGTGATGCATACATTGTTGTTGACAGATTGTACACTGTAGTTGTGTGTTCTTTTTTAGACACATTACTGTTAAAATTTCTATGTTTACAAATACTGGTTAATGTTGTTGATATTATGGGGGCCAAGAGAAAACTTTCTCTTTATCCATGAAAGTTCATTAACAAAAATCACTGACAAATATGGACCAATTTGAAGAAAAGGCATAAGAAATTTTATTATTTAATGTGCTGGGAGGGGGCAAAACACAGGGTGGAGTCACAAGAGAGTAATGTCCCAATTTTCCATTGGGGTACAGAGCTTATACACCCATCTCTGTAGGAAATGGGGTGATGGGGGTATAAAAGTAAATGATTCTTAGGGGGATGCAGTGGTCCTGGAGAATTTTAAATAGCCTGGGACAAAGTATATTTGGCTAACAATGACTGGTAAATATTTCTTCCAAAGTACTGAATGGAGGGCTGGCCAATGAGCTCAGTTGGTTAGAACATGGTATTACTAACATTAAGGATTTGGATGCTGATACCAGCCAGCTGCCCCCCCCAAAAAAAATACTGAATGGGACCGAAATGGAAGACAATGGTCTGTGACAAAAGTTAGTCCAGGTGTGTTGACAGACTCCAGTCTTCCTTTCTGTGATATGAGTTAAGTTAATGAAAAATCATGGAAAGTACCAGAGATAACTATCTTCTCTGGCAGGTTGGACTTTAGGCAGATCAGGGAACAGCTTCACCCTGTGCTTTGGAGAGTGACTAAGTATTGACAGATGGGGGAGGGGGAAAGGTCAGAGAGAACTTAAGGCTGCTTCTTTACTGCAGCATGTCAAAGTGCTATATTTTGGGGTAACAGCTTTCTGCATCCCAGTAATATAATAGAAACTAAAATATTCACTTTGCAGGAGTTTTCACTAATTGCAGAAATGATTAAAACACTAACAAGAATGCATCTGCACATTTCAATCTTACTGTTCTGTTTTTCAAAATGGGGAGAGTTTATTGCTCTATTGACAGGTTTTATCTATGCCTTTTACTATATGATTTTGAATGGCTTGACTTGACTGATTGTCTATCTGATATTTTGTGGTTGTGAGCAATACTGAAGTGCAGTATTTAAATATTCATCACATGAACCCATCCACCATGACAAATTAATACGTTACTGAGCACTGTTTATTTTTTTGGACATTTTCTTTAAAACTTGAATATGTGAATAAATAGATAAATCTGTATATTATGCTTCATGCTGGTATAGGGGCCAAGGGAAAACTTCCTCTTCACCCCTGAAAGTTCGTAAATAAAAATCATTGACATGGCCAGCCCCGTGGCTCACTCGGGAGAGTGCGGCACTGGTAGAGCCGAGGCTGCGGGTTCAGATCCTATATAGGGATGGCCCATGTGCTCACTGGCTGAACATGGTGCAGACCACACTGTGCCGAGGGTTGTGATCCCCTTACCCATCAAAAAAAAAAGTCATTGACAAATTTAGATCAATATAAAGCAAAGGCATAACAAATTTCATTAGTGTGCTGGGAGGGGGCAAAGCACAGGGGAATCACAAGAGAATAATGTCCCAATTTCCAATGGGGGTACAAAGTTCATATACCAGTGTTCATGAGAGAGAAGTAGGGGGAGGTACAAGCCCCAGGATAATGGCCTGAAACCAGGTTTTTCTGAAGCTGGGGGGCGAGGTATGCGGGGTGGTCATCACAAGTGAAAGAAAGGAAGTCAGAAGTTAAAAGTTAAGTAGAAACATCTTGAATGAAGATGAAAATACTTCAGGTAATCTCACAGCTGCCCTCAGAAAGAACAGTAGCCAAAGGAGGGACGCCTCAAAGGAAGCCTGCCTGTTAGTATTTATATATGTAAATTTCTTCTGAATTAGCCATCTTAAAATATGTCAAAGAATGTATTTTGGGGCCGAAATATTGTGCCTTCCTTTACTTGGTAAGATTATCATACTTGAGATTTGTTTCATTGTGTATTGGTAACAGGCCATAAACAAAACATCATCAATTAACAGCCCTTTGCTGGTATTATCTGTGATCTATATCACTTCATCAGCCAACTAGAAGTACTAAAAATAATAAATGCACTAATATCAAATTAAAGAACTGCAGGTTTTTTAGAAGCCACTTTTCCACGTTAGTATCATCTTAACAGGTATAGAAAAACACATTTAATTCCACTACAGAAGTCATAGAAGCTAGAGAAGATTTATTGTTTCTTTCTGCTTTTTCACTGAGTTCTCTGGATGTATGACAAAAAATATCAATATTGACTTTAGAGGGATTGCTCTTTTACTGGCTCAAGGTCACAGCTACTCAACAATTACTAGCTTATATATTGTGTGCTAGGCTCTGTTTTAGGCTCCAGGGGTGCAACAGTAAGAAACTGAGACGTGGTCCCTGTTGTGACATCACTTACAGGCCACTAATCTCCCCTTTTAGGGTTTCCTGCTGAGAGTTGCCAAATGGCAAAGAAAGTTCCAATGATATTTAATAGTTGGCTAAATAGCATCTGATCATAACACTCCACACCCTCCTTACAGAGATTTTGAGGCAAAACTGAATTGAGGCAGGCAGCACAGAACAAGAATTTACTCTCTCTGCCAGCCTGGAAAGTTTGGGACCTGTGTTCTGAAGTAGGCGGGGTGGAGCTAGAGATAGAGATAATGAGTCCCCAAAGCAAATCCTCAGATCATTTACTCAACCTTTTGTATACACAAGGATTTCTGACCTGTTTTTAAGGCCCTACTGCTTGGACTCAGGAAATAAAAGAAAATGGGAAAAGGTCCTTTCCTGATGAGGCACTGTGGTCACTGTGACTAAGGCTCACAGTGGATCTAGGGGAACCACGTGATGCAGACCACCACTGTCAGTGAATTCTTTAACCAATCTTCTTGGTCACTTGCCATGAACTTTTCATGTATGAGTGTACTTCAAAAAGTTAATGGAAAGATTTGTATATCAGGCATACTTAGCATAATACAAGTTTTTATAGTTATCACCTTCAATTCTGAGCACTTCTTTCTTGTGTAACATTCTTATGCATATACAACATGTTGTGTGGCCTAGATTAGGTGACAGCTCTCTTCAACAATTCTAATGAAATTATGATTAGATAACTCATATTGGCAGCCTGTAAACTGTTTAATTCATCAGTTCCTTACATCCTTTCCATGTGCAGTTTGACAAGGGTATCATCTACAGTTTCTTGTTAGGTTTGATTGGTATGGGACCAGTTCCAATGAGCACCGCTTACATTGTAGTTGTGGACATCATTTACATAGACTATAGTGTGAATGGGGCCCTCTGGATGTGCAGTTTGACAAGGGTATCATCTACAGTTTCTTGTTAGGTTTGATTGGTATGGGACCAATTCCAATGAGCACCGCTTACATTGTAGTTGTGGACATCATTTACATAGACTATAGTGTGAATGGGGCCCTCTGAAGTTGGGTAATACAGAGACCCTGAAGCCCTTAAAATCAAAGTTTCCACTGGAAATACCATAGTAGGATCTACAGTAGGGGAGCAGTCACCCCCTTAGCTTTTCATTCTGACTTCTGGTGTATAATTAAGAATCTGGTGTTATATGTGTACTTATTCAATCAATGGTAATATTTAGGCAAGCTTCTACAGATTATAAAGGTAAACAGTGAGATAGGTGTGGAATTTTATGACTGCTGTGGTAGAAAGATAGATTTCTTTGCAAACGTATGTTTAGTTGCATTCAATAGACGGATACTGTTCACAGGTAGAAAGTCATTTGCATTTCAGCACCATCTGGGTATATTCTGGCTCATGATGAAACTGTGCTTAAAATGAAATATCATTGGTGATAAACAGTGGTTTTGATGATTATAATGTTAAAAAAGATTCAAAATTCAATAAGTAGTCAGCATTTCAGAGCCTACTCTCCTGCTGGCTAGACCAATTCTGTACAATACTTGCACATCCTACACCCCAAGTCAGTGACAATCTCTGAGAAATAGTGTCTGGTAGAAGAAAGGAGTATAGTTCTCTAGTAATCATTTTTGAATTTTATATAATGCCTGAATTTCACCATCTGTAAATAATCAAGTTCTCTGATAGAGCCACTGTTACGCTTCTCAAGGCTTATTCTAATAGAAGTTAAATGTGATAAATTGATTCTTTATATCCTTGTGACTGTAAATAAACCATTGATGAATCCTCTGCAGCCTAAGCAGATATTAATGTATGTAAACTGGAGTTAATATGAAATTTGCATTTTGTGTATTTTGCCTAATCTGTTTAGTGCCAAGAATCCTTTGCACCTTTGATGGATAACATTTAATTTAAATCTCTTTACTGTCTGGGTCCTTAATGATGCAGTCCATTACTTTTCCATTTTATATGTCAAAGACTGCTTCATTATGGCTTCTACATACATGTCCTATCATATGCTATCTGTGGAATTCCACAGTTGTGTTGAGAGTCATTCTTCTATTTTACTTCTTTCTGATCGTTCATTTTACAAATATATGAGTGCCTATTATCTTCCAAGTACTGTTCGAGGCATTGGAAGGAGAGAACAAAAAATCAAGAAAGATAGTATCTTTGCTTTATGTCTGTACAGTAAAGCACACTAATTCCTAACTAAGAATAGTAGCCTTGCGCATTTTGAGTCAGATATCTACAACTTCTTTGCCACTCATTGAAGATATAAATTGACAATAAAAAAACAGAAAATGCAAGTTGCATTTTCTTCATTCCTATCAATTTCTCCTAACATAGTAGATGATTGTTAGAGTATTTCTTTGGCTTCCCTTGCGCATTTTGAGTCAGATATCTACAACTTCTTTGCCACTCATTGAAGATATAAATTGAGAATAAAAAAACAGAAAATGCAAGTTGCATTTTCTTCATTCCTATCAATTTCTCCTAACATAGTAGATGATTGTTAGAGTATTTCTTTGGCTTTTGATTAGATTTTAAATAGCATTTTTTGCTTTTATATTCAGTATTTGTCTCTCATAATGGTTGTACAGATCCCTAAAGTAAGTTGGAGAAGAAAAGAGGAGTTCTGAAAGGGGGAAAAAATCAAAATGGAATGTGTGTGTGTGTGTGTGTGTGTGTGTGTGTGTGTGTGTATGGAATACTATTTAGTGCAGTGTACAAAATAAATGTATTTTAATATTTTTAGAAAACATTGTTTCTTCAATATGTAATTTAAACACATGAAAAATCTTGTTATCTTAGTTCATCGAATTATTTAAAAGTATTTTTCTTGCTCTCAATTCTTTTTCAAAATTTTTCTTCATTTGGCTGTATTTTAATGGTCTCCCTTCTCTATTGATAGAACTGTAGTGAAATGTAGCATTGCCAAGTCGCAAGCTCTCTACAGTGCCCAGAGAGGGTTGAAGACAAACAATGCTGCTGTATTTAAAGTAGGAGCTATCAGCATCAACATTCCTCAGCACCCTGCTACCTTACATAGCATGATGGTTCGTAGTTCTCATCAGCTGTCTAAACAAATCTCAGACCTCATCAGACAGCCTTCTACAGTGTGAGTTATTTTATTTGTTTATGTGCTGTGATTCTATATAATACCTCAAAAAAAAGTTTGGAGGAAGATGAAAGGCTACTTCTAAGTATTGACCATTATGGACAATGGGGCAAGTGAAGAGTAGCCAATAATCATGGGGGAATCATATTGGATAACATTTAAGTACTATGTCAGAAATGTAATTGTCAGTGTTCCATATTGCATAAATAAAGTTTGAGATTCTAGAGATTTGTGGCTTCATAAGAGTTAGTAATAAAAAGCAAATTGATGAATTCTAAGACTATATCAATCCTTGTTTACTTTGAATTCATTGAAATTTATGGCTGCATAAGGTTTAAGAAATTGCAGTGGTGATTTATGTTCCATGCATTGTTTTGTGCTGTCCTCTGTGTGAAATTATTATATATGATTCAATGCACGATTTGACCATGCCACATAAATATTTTAAAGGACAATAAATCAGACTTTTTCACATTAACTTTTGTTCCTGTGTCTATAGCCTTTATTCATTCACCTGCATTGCTATCCTTATTCCCAGCCTCTGAAAGCTATAGCTAATAAAAATATATGGAAAAGGTAAAAAAGTTGCCTTATGTTTCCTTTTCCTCATCCTATAAAGTGGGAAAACATTAGTGTGTCTTTTGATGGTACCCTAAAGCAGTGATTTTTCTAATTGTTCTATTTAGATCTTTAATTCTGATGTAATATTAATTTATGGCTGAAGTTGACTAAGTAGTAAAAACTTAAATATTTTTCTCCCATGAAAGGAATATGGAATCCAGAATGTGTATTGTGAACATTAGTTTTAAAATACTCCAAAGAATTTTTCCTTATTGTAATGTATTGTCAGTAGAGTGTAGTAGTATAAAAATCAGACTCTGGAGTCAGAGTCAAAAGTTTAGTTTCACCACTTTCTAGCTACGTTTCCTCATTTACAAAGCCGAGATAATAGTACCTACTCAAAGGGTTTTGTGAGACAAATGAGATAGAACCCACAAAGCACTAAGAATGATACCTGACACTTGTAATTATTGTTACTGTTGGTGTTGTTAATAGTGGCAGTAATAGTAGTGGCAGTAGTATAATTAGTATTACAATCATCAGTAGAGTACAAAATGGTTAAGTCATAGAATTTGGAATCAGACAAATCTGAGTTTAAATTTCAGTTTTGCATTAATGGCATGAATCACCTTGGGAGTATAACATTCTAGGAGTATATATTGTTATTCTTCTTGTCTAATTTTCTAGATCATCATTGCTCAGTGGCTGGTTTTAGGAAGTCTTAATATAATATGATATTTGAAAGAAACATTTGTTCACAATATATATTTGTTATTTTTTACTGAGACATCCAATAGTTTTATACAGTAAAATGGCAGCTGTTAATTGTACTTTAAAAAAAAATTTTTTTTTTTTTGTTTTATAGCCCACAGCCTGTAAAAGAAGATATTGCAACCCCGCTACCTTCTGAAAAAACTCCAACAAGTGTTAATCAAACTCCCGTTGAAACAAATGAATTTCCTCAGCTACCAGAAGGCTTAGAAAAGAAGCCTATTGTTCTTAAATTCAGTGCCATGTTAGATGGTATAGCCATTGGAGCAGCACTTTTACCATCTCTGAAAGCAGAATACAAGATGGGAAGAATGAGAAGTCATGGAATGACAGGTAATGCTGAATTTTGAATCCTATCTCTTAAAATTTATGATTTGAGAAATTAGTGATATTTTGATGAGAAGGTAAATTTAGTTTTATAGATATTATATGAAAATCTAAACAATTTTAACAACACTTAAATTTCATTAATGATATTCTCCAGTCAAGTAAAAAATATCAGTGCACCTCTGTGAATGGCCAGAATGGACCCTTCTTTGAACTGTTTAAAATTAGTTATTCAACTGTTGAAGCCAATTCTCCAATTAAACTAAAGTTGAATAAATGAACATCTGTTAGGTTTTTATAGTCTGAATAACTTGGTTTATTTTCACATTGGGTGCATTTAGCTTAAATCAGAGGTAATTTTATTTTTCTAAAATAGCTTCTTCTGTGTGGTTTGGGAACCTTTATATACCCTATCCCAAAATTCTTTGCTTTTTAATTTTTATTGTGACATGTGTCATATATACAAAAGCATGTGAATTATGCATACACACACTTTAAAAAATAATTAAGTACTGTAAACTCACCAACCCACTACACAATCTGAGAATTAGAACAATACCAGTAGCCTCCTTCAAAGGCAGTCCCTATGACTGCTTTGGGAATAACCACTATCATGAATTTTGTCTTACCCATTCCTTTGCTGCTGCTTTGTAGTTTTACCATGTAGGTATATGAGGGTACTTCAGAAAGTTTGTGGGAAAATAGAATTAAAAGATAATACAAATCTTTCCATGAACTTTTGTTTTGTTTTGGTGGCTGGCTAATATAGAGAGCCTAACCTTTGATCTTGATGTTATCAGCTCTGTGCTCTAACCAACTGAGCTAACTTGCCAGCCCTCCATGAACTTTTTGAAGTACGCTTGTATATTCATAAATGATTTTGTTTGCTTTTGCATGTTTGAGTTTCTCAAGGGTATTTACTTACGAGTGGTAAAATTTGGTTGTACGGTAAATACATCTTTGGTTTTACTAGGAAATGCAAAACTGTTTTCCAATTTATTCTCCCACCAGTATTAGATGAGAGTTTTCATTGTTCCACATCCTTGTTCACACTTGGTATTGTCTGACTTTTTAATTTTTGCTTGTCTGGTAAGTGTGGAATGGTATCTCCTTGTGGTTTTAATTTATATTTCTTTGATTACTAATGAAGCTGAATCTTTTTTATATGATTAAGAGCTCCTTATTTGTTTTCTTTATATGAAACGCCTGTTGATGGTTCTTTTTTGCTTGTTTGTTTTTTTGCCAACTTATCATCAAGGCATTTATGTTTTCCTTGATTCACAGGAATTCTTTATATATTCTGTATATTATATCTTTGATGTTATATGTTTAACATGTGTGATCACCCAGTTAGAAGCTTATCATTTCACTTTGTCTTTTGATCAACAGATAGTCTTAATTTTAATGTAACTGAATTTACTAGTATTTTCCTGTATGATGTGTATTTTTATGTCCTGAAGAAATCCTTCTTTTCCCAGGATCATGAAGATATTCTCTAATATTTTTTCTTAGATGTTTTGAGTTTTGCTATGCATATTTATTAGTCTATTTTGAATTGATGATGATTATTATTTTTAAACTTGCTGTGGGGTAGTAGGCATACCCAGTTATCTCAGCATCATTCATTGACTAATCCATTCCTTTTTTTTAGTGATTCATTATCCAAAAATTAGTCATATATTAAGTGTTTTTTACATATGGAGTCTATTTCTGAGTTTTCTATTCTGTTTCATTGGTCTATTTGCACCAGTATCTCATTGCTACCTGACTTTTCCATTTTTAGGAATTGCTCTGGTTATTTTTGGTTCTTTGCTGCTCCATATACATTTTAGAATCAGTCTGTCATATTCCCTGAAAAAGCCCTTTTGAATTTTTATAGGAATTTCACTGAATCTATAAATTTATTTTGGGGAGGATTGACAACTATGCAATATTTAACCCTCCTAGTTCTGAATAAGTCTGTTTCTCTGTCTCTTTAGGTTTTCTTTAATATTTTGCCATAAAGTTAAAAATTTTTCTATTTAAAGGTTTTTGTGCAACTTCTGCAAGATATTTATTTATTTAGGTACCTAGATACCTGTGTTGTTGTTGTAGCTATTACAAATATTCTCTTTTGTAAAATGGCATTTTTCCAAACTTCGTTGGTGGTATGCTTGATGCTTTTATGTTAATCTCATACTCAACAGCCATATTAAATATTTTATTATTGCTAATAAATGGTAGATTCATTGTAGGGTTTTTTTGGTAGCAATCATACTATTTGCAAATAATGATATTTTGTTTCTTCCTTTCCAGCTTTTATGCCTTTTATTTCTTTGTATTGTCTTATTGTGCTTGCCTTGTCTTATTCCCATTTTTTAGTGGAATCAGCATTTTACCAGTGAATCTAATATTTGCTGTGGGTTTTTTCTAGGTTCCTTTCATTAGGTTAAGAAAATGTACTTCTTTTTCTAACGTGGTAAGAGTTTCTATGACGAATAATTGCAAAATATAATCAGATACTTCCTTCTGTTTCTATTGAAATGAAAATGTTTTTTTCTCCTTTATTCTGTCAACATGATAAATTACATTAATAATTTTTAAAACTCTCATATATATATATAAACATACATACATTTGTGTATGTATTTATGTATGTATGTATGTATAAATGTATTTCCATCCCTAGCATTTTATGTTTTCTTTATTAAGAGGGGTTTTTCTGAACATTTAGACTTTTATATTACCAGAAACAAAAGTACTCTAAAGTGTGTTTCCAGATCTGTCAAAGTTAGGAGCCTTAGGGCTTCAGATATTGGAGGACAGGGCTTACAATAAATTAGACTCATTTATTTAGAACACCCATGAAATACAAGGGTCAACAGAAGCAGCAAATCAAAAGCCAGATAGGCAGTTTAGAACTAGGAAGATAGAAATATTTAGAAGCAGAGTAAACATTTTGTCAAATATATAAGAACCCCAAATTCTTCTTGAAATGAAGGAAAGGGACAAGAACAGTAAAAAAATGACTGCATTAGTGATAAGGTATGACCCAGTAACTGAGGCCTTGGATTATTTCAATCTTGATGTTTTTATTTGGTGATGCTGGCAGTAGTGCTAGTGCAATATTCATACATTTTTCGTAGACACCATTTTTGGAAAAAGTGAGGAATGAATGAGTGAATGAGCACCTTCATAAACAATAACTTTTCTTATTTCTTACAGGTGCACAGACAAGATTTACATTTGAGCTGCCAAATCACAGATTACGTTTTACTTCAAAAGTTTCTGCCACAGATATGTCAACCATTCCTCCTTCTGCCAGTCTTAACCTTCCGCCTGTTACTATGTCAGGGAAATACATAATGGAAGAACATGACAGTTATTCAGATCAGGTGTGGAGTATAGATGAACTGCCTTCTAAACAGGGCTACTATTTACAGGGAAATTATCTACGTTGTGTGGCGGAAGTAAGTTTACTTTTAAATTTTCCTACTCTTTGTAACTTAGGAGTCTTCAGTATTTAGGTATACCAAAATATGTAGCGATCCAGACTTTTAAGGTAAGAAAGTACTAAGTCATTTATTCCTGCAGAAAAGTTCTTTACTAAATCAGGGCCACGGATGGGGGAATGTCTGTCTCCCTCTCTCCGTGTAGTTTTATTAAAGCATGTTTCCTTTTTAAATATATTAGTCATCTTTGAATTTACATTTCTTATATTGGATTTAACATCCATGTATGCAATATTTTCATGGTTCATTTGACTATAAAACAAATACCAGTTAACCTTCATTAAGTGTTTTACATGCATTGACTTCTGCAGTCCTTAACCCTATGAGGTAGATATATTTGTTCTCATTTTATAAATGAGGAAACTGAGCCATAGTATGACCACATAATTCATACAGGTATACACAATCATTAACAATAATCTAAAGGAAGATAAGATAGTCAGGTTCACAGACTAGTTTCTTTACTAAGGTAAATGGAAAGCCGGCATAACTGATTCTATTAAGTATGACCACATAATTCATACAGGTATACACAATCATTAACAATAATCTAAAGGAAGATAAAATAGTCAGGTTCACAGACTAGTTTCTTTACTAAGGTAAATGGAAAGCCGGCATAACTGATTCTATTATTTTTTTTTTACTTTATATCTTTACAACCTGTCAAGAATTTAAAAAGCATTTGGACACATTTTTCATTTGTTTTGTTGTGAGCAGGTCATCTGTTATTAACATAATCTTATATAGTAGAAAATTGAAGCTCAGAGAGAGTAAACAACTTTCCTTTATTCTGCCAGCTATCAAGTGAGAGAGGTAGGAGCCACATTTAGGTGGCCTCCCTCCAGGCACACTGTGCTATTTCTCAGCCTACCTTGTCAGTTTCTGTTGGAAACAATTACAACCTTATCAGAAAGCAATTTGCTTTTTGTTTCATAGATTTTCTCTAGAGTTTGAAGCATCTGTAAGAGAGCTTTCTGGGTTCTTTAATAGAAATATTACAGCTACAGGGGATATATTTAACTCTGATTTACCTTCTTTAGAACCTGCTTGCCCTAACACCTCTCTAGAGTTGGGATTTTGGTATGTGAAAAACAAATGTACAGAAAAAAAAAAAGCAAGATTCTAACAAGTCAATGATTTACTTAAAAGATTCTAAAGTATGTTTCATGTGTGCTTTCCATTCTGAAAAATAAGTGCCCCAAACTTCAGTTTAGCAAAACTATTATAAATGCTTCATTTGAAATAAAATAAATCTGATGCAGTGCATTGTGTAATTCCTTACTAATATTAGATTTTTGAAAGGCATAAAGTTTGTAATTGAGACAGAACACAATCCAAAATTTAGTAAAAATGCAGTTAATTTTAAACATTTTAAAGAACCTAATATTGCATCCTTCTTAGAATTGAGTATTTTACTATGGCCCGCAATAAACACTCCTGAAAATCATCTCTCCCCTTTTTCTACTACTGTACACAAAATAAAAGTGTCTAGTACAACTTAGGCTTCCTGTGACTTCTTGCTTAAGACTACCAAATCTATTTTGCTCTTTTAATTTTTGATCAAAATATGAACCCTGTCAAAGTGGCAACTGATGAAGCATTTGCCTTAATCATGAGGATGTTTAAATCTATCTATGCTATAATACTCAACTTCAATTAGGGGTTCTATAAATCTGCCATTCTTGCCAGAAATTTTAATACCTTGAACAAATCATAGGGCATAAATTATATTAAAACTTGATTGGGTATCTCTGATTTGCTAATTCACTGAAGTGTAAGCCTGAAATCTAAATTTTTGTTTTTATTCATAGCTGTATCCTTACTACCTAATGTGATACATGGAATAGATGGTCAATAGATATTTGAATGAGTAGATACACTTTACTTTCACTTGTAATGATACTTGTCAATGGTTCTAAGACCTCAGTAGTGATCAATAGAAATAAATTTCATGCTAGGAAAAATTTTAATTTTGAAATTAGCAAATTACATAGTTAAAGTATGATTTTCATTTGTTTTCAAAAGATTTTTCATACCTTATTGACTATTATTATATTAAAAAAACAAAACGTTTTGAGAATGATCCATAACAGGTGTCAGGCTGATAAAGTATTAGAGACTCTGATTATTTTTAATCCTTCTTCAATCAATATATTGATTTCAAATAGTATGTAGATAATTTTCTCTTTTTCCTCAGAGTTTTGGATGATTCATGTGAGGGAAAAGGTATAAAACTAATATAGTCAGTAGTGTTAATCTAATCATCTGATTTTGTTTGGCAGGTTGGTTCCTTTGAACATAATCTCACAACTGATCTTCTAAACCACTTGGTATTTGTACAAAAAGTGTTCATGAAGGAAGTTAATGAAGTAATACAAAAAGTTTCTGGTAAGAGGATTTGGTACCTTATAATGTAGGTGCAGGTTTTTATTCTCATTGGCTACATGATTTTCCATGTGTCTATGACATGAGTATTGATTACAGCATTTTGATATAATTGTCAGTAACTACTGAGAAAAGTATTCATTCCTTTTCTGCCTTTCTCACCTCTAGACCATTTGCTTATAATTTGTCATGTGTAATATATACATTTAAGATTCATAAACTTCACAAAGCTCCCTTACGTTTCCCCCTCAAAAACTAAAAACAAAAATAAAAAACTTAAAGTATTTCTGTTAACCAAACTAATCTCTCTGATTTGGAACAAAATTTAGATAACTATTAAGATTTTAACTTTATCTATTCCGGATGATGGCTGTATGCTGGCTACATGGTAAATCGTCCATAACAACCCTTACTATAGTTTTGCTATGCCTCAACAGTAGATTACAACTGAGCTTCTTAATTAGTCGCTGTTTTACATTTTAGCAGGAAATACATGTTTGATTAAAAACAGTTAATTGACTTTTAATTCACGAAATAAAGTAGTATTAAAAGGAATTAGGGCAAAAACAAGTTGAGTCTCTAAAAATTTTCAGTGCTGAGTATTTTCACTACGAACATAATCATGTTAAAAGAATATTTAAGCCACATGTACAAGTTGGCATGAAGAGGAGTTTCCTCATGTTTATGGATTAATTCCTTCATTAAACAAATTTATTAAGTATCTAGGTATTCAATTACAGTTTCTTAAAAAAATTTATTGGTTATACATATTCATGGGGTACAAAGCTGACCATCACCACTTGTGCCCAAGATGAGTTAGAATTTTGATGAGTTCTGTGAATAACAAGAACAAGGTGCAATGAATTTGTATCACAGGAGAAACTAATCTAGTTGACGCAATCAGAAAAGTCTTCACAGAGGTATTTATCCAAAACCTTAAGAATTAATTCCAGTTCAGCAAGAGAGGAGGAGAGGTAGAAAGGATGCTGGCAGAGCACATGGACCAGTGTTTGATAAGGCCCTGAAGGAGGACACCACTCCTTGGATTAGGGAATTAAACTGATGCATCAACTCTGTGAGCAACAGGTTTCCCTGGTTCTCTTGGGCTGGTTCTGGTTGCATCTGAGGTCAGGAGGCTACTTAATGATCATATTATAGAGGCCCAACAGAGCTGTAGAATTTCACAAGTTAAGTCATAAAAGATCAGATTATTGGTGTCATAAAGTTTTTCTGAAAAAATGGTTGACTAGAAGCTATTAAGGAGGAGATAAATATATAGCAAAATCTCTATCACTGAAAGTGCCTCTACTTGGGGAACATAAACAAGTTTTCGTGTGGCCTGTATACCTCATTACAATCATATTAGGACATTATCTATGATAGGAAAGTTGTTAAGAATATTTCAAGCTGGTAAATTTTTATGAGTTCTAAAAAATATTTTTAAGACTTTTATTTCTGAATATGTATAATTAAAAAATACATGGACTCTTACATTAACTGATCTTGTATTTCTCATGGTAAAAAAAACTAGCGTTGTGGAGTTCCTAGTATTAGGCTGTCACTGTAAGCCCCCTTTGAGGTGGTTTTGATGAAAGAAAAAGGCTTTCCTTAGCTGTTGGGTTGCAGTCAGTTAGGAAATGTAAGTATATCCCAAGTTCTATGAGGAATGAAATGGAAAAAGAGGACTGGAAGTTAATATTCTAACGATAAAGTCTTGATAATCATTGTAAAGAACAGAGAGATCAGATTATTGTGCTGGTGTCATTTAGGAGCTACGTCTGCTCCCTGAACTGTTTTCTGACTGTAGGGACAGCCACGGTCCTGAGAAAAAAGCTAAAATTTAAGTCACATATCCTTTAGTTGGCCACAGGGCCTGAGGTACCATAGACATTCTGTTTTTCTATCAAGACCAGAGAACATGAGAATATTGAGAGTGAATACTATGAACCCTTGTAGGCAGAGTTTCTCATTATTTTAATCTCTGTATTGCTTCCCTACTCTCCCATAATTGTCATAGTTATTTTCCTTTTTTTTTTTTTTTTTTTATTTCTTATACTGTTTTCTTCATGGTTTCCCTTTGTGTTACATTTAGTAACTAGGATATTTTCTATTGTATATGAAGACTTATGTTCACAAAAATCATCAAATTTGTTAGGAAAATGCTGTTTTGAAGAATCAATTCTTATTTGCCCATGAAGGACTTATAGGAGTGCCTGGGTTTCAAAAAGATATGGGTAAGCACTGACCAAGTACACAGAGATTTAAAGTCGTATAACTTCGTATAATGTATGCTATACGAAGTTAATACGACTGAGGTAAGTGAAAATTCAAACAGAATCTACTTTTAATGTATAAAAAGGCAATAGTATTAAGAAAATGGAAATTAATATGTATTTGGCAAGGTATGACAATAGCTAGAAAAATGATAATCCTATCTGACCAAATTATATAAATCTGCAGGTCCAGGTGAAACACATCTAATTTTTTAAAAAGAACTAATGAAGGAACTCTTGGAACCTCTGAGAATGTACTTCAGTAAACCATAGGAATCAGGAAAGGTGCCAGAAAACAGGAAAAATGTGATACCTAACCTAAAGAAGGGTAGGAAAGAAGTCCCAAGGAACTGACAGCCTGATGGTTAATCCAGAAAAAAATCTTGACCTTTTATACTTAGTATAGTCTGTAACTCTTAGGGAAAAACTCCATGACAACACTTCTTAAACACAGTTTTAGTTAAGTAATGCTAATATTTTTCAGAAAATTGTCAGGCTAGCTATAGTTTCAAAATAGCTTAAGCAATCTAAACTCTTAACCTAATGTGAGGAATGTGACACACTTAAAATTATGTATTTATGCCATAATCTGAAATAAAACTTGAGTGATACAGACGTAGCCAATATTAGATAGACAGATAGATCATGCAAGTAGATTATGATTTTCTTCAGATTAATTTTTATCCTTATTACTTAGAAAAAATAACAGTTATTTATTACTTAATTGAACAACCAAAAGACAGCCAACTTTCAAAGTCACATTTGTTGCACTTCATGATTACTCTTGAATCACCTGGAACACGCTCTTGTCTATAGAGTCTTGGTAGAAACAAAGAACTCTTCTGGCTTAATTTCACCCATCCTGTTAGAAAATATCAGGATAACAATAGAGTCATAAATAACTTTCAGTAACTATTCTAAAAGATCTTCAAAATGCACACATAGTTACATGTAGTATTTTTCTCTCAAGAACATGATATAATTAATTCTATATATTTTAGAGTAAAAATTATGTCTCTGTATCTTTGAAAACAAAAGAAGAGAGATTCTAAACCCATTCAGAAGTTGTTTATTTAGAACTTAACATATGACCCCATGCTAAATGATGAGGAAGCCACAATGACGTGTGGATATAACTTAATTATCAGGCTTAGGAAACTTATTATTTCAGTGGGAAGATTGGATATTTCTACCTATAATATACAAACCTTTAAATGAAGTGAATAAATGAGAAAGTTAAGTTTTATATAATTATAAGTTAAGTTTATGTAAAGTAGAGAACACTTTATGGGTAGAATTATCACGGTGGGCTTTATGATATAGGAATGATTTGAACTGATGCTTGGTTAAGTTCTACTTTTTGATGGTTGAGTGCATTTCAAAAGAGAGGGACAGTTTGAGGAAAGAAACTGGGACAGAAAGGCATGTTTATTTGCTAAGAATGAGATAAGAATTGTGAGAGTTAGAGGAAAGTTATGAAGACTTTCAGTAGTTTTTATGAGGATTGTGTTGGAGAAATGACAGAAGATCATTTCTCTGATGAAGATGAAGAATCACCAAGCAGTGTAGGTGCCTAATTGAGTTCAGAAAAAACACTGAGGGTCCGATAAGGTACTGCTTGCTAGGATCTAAAGGTATATGGTCCCTGCCCTTAGGAACTCAGTCTGATTGGGCAGATAGTTATATAGATAAATAAATAATATAACAGAGATGTGTATGTTTTGTCACACATCACATAGGAAGGAAGGACTAAATTCTGATAAGGCCGCATCAGAGAGGGTATGAATAAACTAATATGTGATAAAGGACTTAAAGCATTTGGCACATAGTAAGTACTCAAATATTAATTCACTCTTCTTAGGTATTAGGATCAACACAAATGGTTACTTATTTGAGAAAGCAGACAATGAATAAGAACAGAACATGAGTGAGGGGACAGAGTCATTTTAGAAAAGTGAGTTCAGGGAACAGTGATGTAAAAGGGCTGTGGTTTAGAAGTCAAATGATAAAATCAGAGAGAGTGGTGGTTTAATGTTTTAGAAATAGTACTGAAAAGCAACCTAAATGCTATCAGCTGGGTCAAAGGAATGAGTGAATGTGAGACTTCCAAATGATGTGGCAACAGAAAAAGCCATATTTGAATGAAGTTAGAGAGTCAGAGAAATGAAAGGTATAAATTAAGACAATGGAAGCTTTGTTGGTAGTAGAACGAAGAGAGAGACAACAGGAATCAGAGGGGGTGATTGATGGGGGAGGCAGAGTATACATATATTTGGCTATATGTAGTCATCTGTGATGAGGCTTGGGTAAGAGGGATGATTGTGGGGTTGAGATAAGGAGGTAGAAAGAAGTAGTATTTAATTATAAGTCGAAAAGGTAACCAGTGTGCTATAAATTTTAGAGTAGAATAGTTCAAAGAGGGAAGGTGCAAGGATACAGGCAGGCACTAAGCATACAGACATGTTAAGTCTACACATGTACGTGTTGTCTACCTGTTCTTCCAAAATACAGATATAGGTTAGATAATATGTCATAGCATTATTTATCCACAGATTTTGAATACTTTGATTCCTATCTCTTCATATCATTCTTTCGTTCTTTTTCCTGTGTGTTTATTGAATCTTTATGTACATACATTGTTTTTGGTCAAGTTGTCTTTGGGTCAAATTGTATGTTCTTGTCTATCTTTTCTCTGTCTTACCTTACATGTACCTTATGTAGATGACAGCCTCTTTTTATACCTTTCTTCCTATTTTTTTTTCTGTTCTAATAGAAAACCATATTTTTATCATAGTACTAATTGAATAGATTTTGACCCCTAGTCTAAAATTCAAAAGCCCATAAAATATTAATTCTTCCAAAAAAAACCCCTGCTTTTTATCTGTTTGGTTCTTAGTTCTTTTGATACATCTCTGGTCCATAATAGAAAAAAATTCCCATAATAGGAAAAAAAAAAAAATTCAGACTCCCTAGGCTGATGCTAAACTCAACGTATGTACAAAAGGATTAATCGAATATTTGAAAGATAAGCATGCAGAAAAAATTTCAAATCAATGGCAAGAAAAGTGGAAATAGAAGTTAGATAATAAAATATTAGAACATTATTTCCTGGGCAAAACTACTATTAATAGGAACTTTGCTACCAGAGCCCTCTGCCCACAATATGTTTTAATTTACAGGACATATACTGTCACATTCTTTATTATTAGCATGTATTACCTTATTTTTCATTTCTTCACCTTTATTTTTTCTTTTATTCTTTTTTGTTTATAACACATCTAAATGTAAATAATAAAGTTCACATTATTGGTTGAAGAAATTAGTTCAGTTTCCTTTTTTCTCTCAAATATATTTTCTAAGATGTATAATCACATATTTGGTTCAATTATATGTATAATTTTTTAATTAAGTCTACATAAAATGTTCTCAATAAATGTCTGTATATGTAGAATTATCCCTACCTTATGTACAGCTGCCTCAGTGAAATGTAACTTAGCTAAAGATCTCTGTTTAAAAAGATTGGTTTAATGATCAGTAAAAAGAAAACATCTATTTTATGGAGATTTTTTTAAATGCAAATATAGTTTTTCTCCTTTTAAAGAAATTGTCCCAAATCCTCAATATTAACCTCTTTTAGGTGGGGAACAGCCTATTCCTCTGTGGAACGAACACGATGGAACAACAGATGGAGATAAGCCTAAAATTCTCCTCTATTCCCTGAACTTGCAATTTAAGGTAACACATAAATAATAATGATCTTTGTAGAAGTATTTTTCTAATTAATATATTCTTGTCATAGAAAATTCATATACAGGGGTACCAGGGAGATATTATGGGTTTGGTTCCAGACCTCTTCAATAAAGAAAATAATGCAATAAAGCAAGTCATATGCATTTTTTGGTTTCTCACTACATATACGAGTAAAAGTAATGTTTATACTATACTGTGGTCTATTAAATGTGCAACAGCACAATGTGTAAAAAAAACAAGATACATAACGTAGTTAAAAAATACTTTATTGCTAATGCTCATCTGATCCTTCAGCAAGTTGTAGTCTTTTTGCTGGTGGAGGGTCTTGTCTAGATGTTGATGGCTGCTGACTGATCAGAGTGGTGGTTGCTGAGGGTTGGGCTGTAGCAATTTCTTTTTTTTTTTTCCCTGTGATCACTACAGCCAATTACCTGAGGTCACATCAACCAAGGAATGAACTGATACAGTTAGGATTATGTTTTTCTCTAGATTTGTTCATAGTAACCTAATATAAACCAAATCAGGATAATTTTTTTGTCTTTTTTCGTGTCCGGCAACAGATTGCAACCCTCAGTGTCGCGCCCGTACCAGACCGGGACCGGCGACGGGATCGCAACCCTCAGTGCTGCGCCCGCACCTCGCTCAGCCAGTGAGCGGGAACCAGTCTGTATGTGGGATCCGAACCCTCAGCGGGAGCGCCGCCGCGCTCCCAAGTGGCGCACTGCAGCAGTGCGCCACTGACTGGGCCGGCCCCAAATCAGGATAATTTTAATAATAATCATTAAATGAGATTCCATGAACTGTAAATGAGAAATTATTTTGTGCTTACATTCCAGTTGGAAGATATCCCTCCCCAAAATTATTGCAGTAGAAATAGAAAAAAAAAAAAAAAAAAAAACCCTCCACGTGTAGCACTTTCTTGAAATAAGACAACAATGAAGTTAGCCACATGGATTGACTCTTCCTTTTACGAAATATTTCCTTGCAGCATGCAATGCTGTTCAAAGTATTTTACCCATAATAGAACTTCTTTCAAAATTGGAGTCAATCCTCTCAAACCCTGTGGCTACTTTATCAAGTAAGTTTATGTAATATTCTAAATCCCTTGTCATTTCAACAATATTCACAGCATCTTCATCAGGAGTAGATTCCATTTCAAGAAATCACTTTCTTTGCTTATTCTTAATAAGCAACTCCTCATCTGTTCAAGTTTTATCACGAGATTGAAGCAGCCTATCCATCTTCAGGCTCCACTTCTAATTCTAGTTCTCTTACTGTTTCTGCCACATCTGCATTTACTTACTCCACTGAAGTCTTAAACCCCTCAAAGTCATCCATGAGTGTTGGAATCATCTGTTTCTGAGCTCCTGTTAATGTTGCTATTTTGACTTTTTCACATGAATCACGAATATTCTTAATGGTATGTAGGATGGTATATCCTTCCCAGAGTTTTTTTATTTACTTCACTCAGATGTATCGGAGGAATTACTATCTACAGCCTTATGAAATGTAAATAATAAGACTTGAAAGTCAAAATGACTCCTTAATCCTTGGGCTGCAGAATGGGTGTTGTGTTAACAGGCATGAAAACAACATGAATCTCCTTGTACATCTCCATCAGAGCTCGGTGACCAGGTGCATTTTCAAAGAACAGTAATATTTTAAAAGAAATCTTTTTTTTTTTTCTGAGCAGTAGATCTCAACAGTGGGCTTAAAATATTCAGTGAATCTCAACAGTGGGCTTAAAACCATGCTGTAAAGAGATGTGTTGTCATCCAGGCTTTGTTGTTCCATTTATAGAGCACAGGCAGAGTAGATTTAGCATAATACTTACAGGCCCTAGGATTTTCAGAATGTAAATGAGCATGGGCTTTAACTTCAAGTTACCAGCTACATTAGCCACTAATGACAGTCAGCCTGTCCTTTAAAGCTTTGAAGCCAGTCCTTGACTTCTCTCTAGTTATAAAAGTCCTAGATAGCATCTTCTCCCAATATAAGGCTGTTCCATCTACACTGATTGTTTGTTGTTTACTGTAGCCACCCTCATCAATTATTTTAGCTAGAACTTCTGGATAAACTTCCTGCAGCTTCTACATCAGAACTTGATGCTTCACCTTGAACTTTTATGTTGTGGAGATGGCAGTTGTCCTTAAACCTCATGAACCAGCCTCTGCTAGCTTCAAACTTTTCTTTTGTAGCTTTCTTACCTCTCTCAGCCTTCATAGAATTGAAGAGAATTAGGGCTTTGTTCTGGATTAGACTTTGGTTTCAGGGAATGTTGTGACTGGTTTGATCTTCTGTATACATCACTAAAACTTTCTCCATATCAGCAATAAGTCTCTTTTGCTGTATTATTTGCTGTATTTGCTGTGTTCACTGGAGTAACACTTTTAATTTCCTTCAAGAACTTCTTTGTATTCACAACTTGGCTAACTGGTGCAAGAGGGCTAGCTTTTGGCCTTTCTAGGCTTTTGACATGCCTTCTCACTAAGCTCAATCATTTCTAGCTTTTGATTTAAAGTGAGAGACATGCGACTCTTCCTTTCACTTGAACACTTAGAAACCATTATGAAGTTATTTATTGGGCTAACTTCAATATTGTTGATGTCTTAAGGAATTGGGAGACCCAAGGACAGTGAGAGAGACAGAAATGGGGGAATAGCTGGTCGGTGGAACAGTGAGAACACACATAACATTTATGAATTAAGTTCATCATCTTATACGGGCACGGTTTGTGGTGCCCCAAAACAATTGTAATAGTAACATTAAAGATCACTTATCACAGATCGCCATAACAAATACAATAATGATGAGAAAGTTTGAAATATTTTGAGAATTAACAAAATGTGACACAGAGACACAAAGTGAACACATGCTGTTGGAAAAATGACACCGATAGATTTGCTTGATGCAGGGTGCCACAATCCTTCAATTTGCAAAAAATGCAATATCTGTGAAGTACAATAAAGCAAAGCACAATAAAACAAGGTATGCCTGTAATTCATAAATTACCAAATAGAAAATAAAAATGAACCGTAACCCCATTCAGTCAGAGAAAAAGCTTTAACAATTATTTGAATATCCTTAAGGTCTGTTTTTTCTATAAGTATTTTTATATATGTGTGTGTGTATATATATGTGTGTGCATCTTAAAAACTTTGGGTATCTTTCCATATCAGAATATTATGTGTTGTACAGTTATAACAGTTTATTTAACCACTTACTTTTGATGAGCATTTTTTTTCTAATTATTGCTGTTACAATTTACTCTGTGAGAAATATTTTCTACACTTGTCCAATTAACAGTAACATTTTAATAGAAATCTTAATATTTCCAATAGTTAAAATGTTAATGTTTTTAAAAATAAAAATTATTCTTATGAAATAGTTATTTAATTATAGTTAATATATTTAACCCTTGAGCACTCTAGATTTTAAATACAAAATACATGAAGTTTAATTGCTAAAAACGTCCTACTAACATGAGAAATATAAGAATGTCACCAGTTATATCAGCTCATTAGACATAGCCTGTACATGTTTTAAAACATAACTATTTTACTTATCATATACTGAAAGATTGCATTTGAGTGGGTTACACTGTTGATTTAGGTTCTTTTTCTTTACTCCTACCATATAATCCGCTAGGGTATTCAAGTAACAGCCACAACTCCATCAATGAGAGCTGTAAGATTTGAAACTGGATTGATTGAACTGGAACTTTCTAACCGACTTCAAACCAAAGCTTCACCAGGAAGTAGCAGCTATCTGAAATTATTCGGTAAATGCCAAGTGGATTTAAATCTGGCATTAGGACAAATTGTCAAACATCAAGTGAGTTCAAAATGTATTAATATCAGAACTGTGGCTTTTAGATTTTGCACATCAATTTGACTCTACTTTAACTTTCATATTACTATATTTACAAAAATATTTAGTTTAAGTTCCTAAAATTTCTGATTGTAAATTCTAATGAAAACTCATTTATGAAGGCCATTATAATTTTACCTTGACATATCATTGAGCATTATGATAGCATATTTGTATAGTTTAGAGCAAATGCAGTCACGTGAAACAATCCTGTATCTTTATAAATATTTGCTGATAATTTTTAAAAATTTTGTTAAACATTTTTTTTATTTCAATGCCTTGTACTAACATTAGTCAGTTCTTAAAATGTTAAGTTTATAGCTTCCCTGTAGAATATTGACAAGTTTTGCGTATAATTATGGTAATATATAAATTTTAAAAAATAGCAGTTAACCAGATTCTTTATTTTATAAAAATTAACTTTCACAGCTCACTGGAGCTTTTTTATTCTTTTGTTCTTATTTTGCTAGAATTATTATGTAGATTTTAACCTTTTTTCTCTCTTTGATTTGAAGAATCAATTAAAAAATTGCTACATTAAATATATTGTGGAGGAAAAATGAATAAAAATTTATTGTCATCTCTCGAAAAACAGTAATTTTTTCAAATGGAAACACATTTTGAGAAGAGAGAAGATCTAATTATTTTGAAACATTGAATACATTGCTATTCAGAATATAAACCTCATTCTAGCTTTTATATGAACTTTATTTATGACTTCATATATATTTATTTCAAGTGTTTATGATACCTATACAAGGAATATATCATTAACAATTGAAATTGAGAAAAATGTAGTATAGTTTTTTTGGTGAACAATACCATTAGTGGTGTTTAGTTTTGGGTTTTGGTTTTTTTATTAAAACACTTTCCATTATTTGATTTCATTGAGCCTTAAATTTTATTTTAGGTGTATGAGGAAGCTGGTTCTGATTTTCATCAAGTTGCCTATTTTAAAACCAGAATTGGATTAAGAAATGCCCTCAGAGAAGAAATCAGTGGTTCTTCAGATAGGGAAGCTGTGCTTATTACTCTGAATAGACCAATTGTTTATGCACAACCTGTTGCCTTTGATAGAGGTAAGATGAAGTCTATCATTACTATCTTCTAGGACTTTGAAATGTTTTGGTAATGCTAGATAAAAATCATTTGTATTTTACCAGTGTAAATATTTGACATCTAAATGTCTGCTCAATTTGAAATGTTAGCATCCAAGAAGAGTTTCTTGCTTATTCCCTTTAGTTTTTAAAAGTTGTATTTTACCAGTGTAAATATTTGACATCTAAATGTCTACTCAATTTGAAATGTTAGCATCCAAGAAGAGTTTCTTGCTTATTCCCTTTAGTTTTTAAAAGTTATTTTACATTTTAAAGTTATTTTGCTTTTTACATGGGTACATAGGAGCATCTGATTCAGAATTTTAATTGTAATGCTAAATTTTTTGGTTTGGGTAACTAATGTACACATTTGTGTTTTGGCACTGTATTTGTTCATTCATTCTGTAAATATTGTGTACTGTGTAGAAATGGAATACAAAAATGGACAACAGGATCCCTGCCCTCAGTAGAGAAGAAACCAAAGTAGATTACAGAGTGGAGTTAGAGATGTATGTTCTAGGATCCGAAGGAGTCTCTAACTTTGCCTGTGCTCCTTAGATGAGAAACTAATTCTTCAGATTCAACTGTGAGTTCGTAGTTCACCAGGGAGACAAGGAAATGAAAACTTCACTTATTTACCTTTGTACTCCAGGACCTAGTACAGTCACTGGCTTATAAAATTAAATAAACATTTCCTGAATGAGAAAGAATACGAATGAATGTATATGAGCACAGAGGTCTAATAAAATGTAGCAGCAGCTTTCATAAAAGAAAATAATGGGAAAGAAAGCTGAACAAGTAGACGGGGTCTAATTAGATCAAGCAAATATGTTTGAATTGTATTTTAGAGGTAATGAGGAGTCATTTATGAAGGCTTTTAAAATTTATTTGGTGGTAGGATAGGCTGGTGATAAGATCTATTTTTTAGAAAATTGCCCTTTTGGCATTGTAATGAATGACATTTTATTTTGCTAAATCCTGCACATGTACCTGCACACGTTTTTCATTTCTCATCCTACAACATCTCATCAGCTTTCACCAGCTCCGTAAAGTACTCCTGCTCTTCATGTTCACGACATAACGTTGGCTTTTCCTCCTTCTTCTCTGGCCCATCTATTTTCATCTCCTTTTTAGGCTCCTCCTTCTATACACCGCTGTGAAATGAAGGTTTTCCTTAAGGTTTCTTTCTTGTAAACCAACTCTAATGTCTTTAACCTTTATCTCTAAATCAAATCCTTTTAATGTATATTTCTAGCATTACATACCTCTCCTTCAAGAATTTTTAAAAGTAGTAACATTAATCTCTACAAATATGGTCAAGCACATGTCCTTCTATTTTTGTTTGTTATTCCATCCCAGTGCCTAGCATGTAATAGGCATTTCACAAATAATTTGTCGAATGAATGGACTTGGATTTTCTTTTTCCTTCTGCTGTCATACAGTTGCCTTCTTTCTCCTTCATTTTTTCATTTGTCAGTGAAAAATGTTGACTATGTTCTCTTAAATCCTTTCTAATTCTGATGTTACAGTTTTCTGGGACTAGTTTTTATTAATCAGCGGGATTTTACAGCTGTTGAGATTTACTTACCATGTAGATTTTTACCTTGTTGATTTTGATTTTCTTTCTGCCCTTTCTTAATTATGAAAAGCTGTGCTGTTTTGGCTGAATTATAAGGCTGCCTATGACAATTGGAATGAGCAACGAATGGCTTTACATAAAGATATTCATATGGCTACAAAGGAAGTAGTAGATATGTTACCTGGTATACAGCAAACATCAGCCCAAGCCTTTGGGACTCTTTTCCTTCAGCTCACTGTGAATGATCTGGGTATTTGCCTACCTATCACAAATACCACACAGGTACAAAAAAATCTTTTTTTTTTTTTTTTTTTAAGATTAAGAGGCAGGCATTTTTACTAAATGACTTCTAAGTATACTATTTGCCTACCTATCACAAATACCACACAGGTACAAAAAAATCTTTTTTTTTTTTTTTTTAAGATTAAGAGGCAGGCATTTTTACTAAATGACTTCTAAGTATACAGAATATAACGATAAAGTTTTCAGAAGAGTTTGTAACTGATTTAGTAGATAGCAAATAAGATTGAACTGCTTCAACCCATTATTCATCTATAAAGTATTAAATCTGAATCTCATGAGACTTTTCTGAAGCACTCTGATATGCTTCAGAATGATAAGATTGACACATTTGATAACTTAATTTTTACCTTGACAGATAAGATGCTTAGTTTTCAGAATCTTTTTATTGTTTTTTGTTTTGTTTTGGTTTGGTTTTGGCAGCTTGCTAGTATAGGGATCTGAACCCTTGACCTTGGTGTTATAACCAACTGTGCTAACCAGCTAGCCCCCTTTTATTGTTCTGTTTTTAGCAAATAAATCTTTGGTGTAAGCTTATTTTAAAAATGGAAACAAAAGGACATTTAAGAATACTATTTAATAACCTCATCTGGGTGTAATAGGGTAGGGGATTCCAAAATGCTTTTAAACTGTAATATTTAATGGTAATGAAACTCCAAGTTAAGTGTACACCTGAATAAAGCAAGAATTTTAGTAATTTAGGACCAATTCTCAGGTATATAAATTTGCATACACATCTGTATGAGAGATAAAAGGCTATAATCATAACAGTCAGATACAGGGGTCTATATTTTGATGTTATAATTTGCCTTAAACTGTAAGCAGTTGTTGAATGAGTTTATCTTTTAGGGTTCTGTTTGACAAGATAGGTTTAAGGAAAACTTTGGGTTGAGGATGGGCAATGTTAGTATGTTTGTGTCTCAGGAATTGGAATGTAGGTTTTTTTAATGGCATGATGGACAGGGCTTAGGAAACTTGTATCCATCAGGGGTCGATGTGATAGTGAGAGTGCTCCCCACAGCTAAAATCAGAGACTTGAAATAGAAAAGCAGATAATTAGGCCTTTGCAAGTTAAGTAAGAAAAAAAATGCAAATGGCAAATACGTTTCACTTGAGCAATTTAAATTTTAAAAGGTATGTTTCTAAGCTGCTTTTTTTAGAAGATTTCAGGGCTTGACCCTCTCTAGATTTTCGTTTGATGTCTTATTTCTTCTTTAATGTATTTTGCAGTCTAATCACACTGGAGACCTTGACACTGGTTCTGCTTTAGTGTTGACCATTGAAAGTACTCTCATCACTGCTTGCTCTTCAGAATCTCTGGTTAGCAAAGGGCATTTCAAAAACTTTTGTATCCGTTTTGCTGATGGTTTTGAGACATCGTGGGATGACTGGAAACCAGAAATTCGTGGAGATTTAGTGATGAATGCCTGTGAGTCTCTTTTATTTTCTATATGGGTTTAGAATTAAAAACAACAAAACAGTATGTCTCTATTTATAAAACTAAAGGTCGTGTATATGTATATAGAAGTGTTTTTAGACTTTGTGAAAGAAGGACTATTTCCAGTTGAAGGTAACAAAACATATTTCTGAATAACTACAGCTTTCAGTAGTTTTGGTAAGTAAACCAACCAGATGTTCTTTTTGATGGTGTAACATTGAAGGTTTGCTTACTCCCTGATTTTTCCTGTAATAGATCCATAAATGACCAGATAAAACAACTTTGTTCCATGGGGATCTTGAAAGAAAGTCATAGTTGTGTAAGGCCCACTCATCATAAAACGAAGAACAGGTTGCAAATAGCCAGGACCCGGAACTCCAGCCTTAATTAATATTGATGTGAATAAATCTATATGTCCAAATTTGTAGGAATACAGAGTATAATGTATGAATTCTTCCAATTCCATAATACTCAAGGTTGGATATAACTAAAACTGTTTTTATGCTATTTTGGAGTTATAGGGGTTTATTTGGTCTATTTTAATATTTTCTGTATAATAGAGTTAATAAAGCATCATTACTCTTAATAATAAATAAAAATTGTACTTCAGGAAATAAAAGATTGTGAACTAACATTCCTTAGCCAGTCTTGTAAGTTAAATAATAATTACTTTGTAGAAAGTGTTACGCCATTATTTATGCAATTTTTTTCCTTCTCCACTAGAGGGAAATCTTTCAGTTCTGGGTTTTCTTTGAGGAATGCAAAAACTTTCTATTATTTTTACACCAAACATTGAAGTTTTAGCATTCAGTGTTGACTAAATCTTAGATAAAATTATAGATGAAATTCTTGGTTTTGATATGTGGGCAATGAAAAGTATCTTTTCCTTCTGCCCTTTTAGGTTCTATACTGGGGCCCTTGTAACAAAAGACAGTTTAATGACAGAAAAGCATACAAATTTATTTAGTATGAGTTTTCTGTGACATGGGAGCCTACATAAGAAAGTGAGGACCTGAAGAAATGGTTAAACCTGCGTGTTTTTATACTGGGTTTGATGAAGAGTCCTGGAAAAATGCTATAGAACAAAAAGGAATAAGAGTAGTAAACTGGGGGAAACTTAGCATTAGTTTTCTCTCAGTGTCCCTCTATTTTAGAGATAAATGTTTTTATACTGGGTTTGATGAAGAGTCCTGGAAAAATGCTATAGAACAAAAAGGAATATGAGCTAAGGGTAGTAAACTGGGGGAAACTTAGCATTAGTTTTCTCTCAGTGTCCCTCTATTTTAGAGATAAGGATGCTCCTTTCTTCTGAGTATTATAGGGAAAGTACCCCACATGAGGATCTTATGACTTGCTTTAGAGGAAAGTCAGAGAGTTCTTCCTGTACCTGCCGTTTCTCAGATTCCTTCAGCTTAAAATAGTCAATATGCCAAGGTGCCATATTTTGGGGTAGTGTGTCCTGGACCCCACCAAATGCTTTGCATTTAAATAATTCATAGGTAAAATACTAAGATTTCTTTGAAATACTTCAGGTTAGTAAGAACACTTGAACTAAAGTACTCATGTCTGTTATCCAAAAGACCAAAAATAGCCTTCATCAGAAATCTATACATATTATCATTTTGTACAATTGTTATATGTGTTTTTAAAAAACACTATAACTGTACTCTTTTTTTTTCTTAAAGGCCAAAATAAATTCAAATGTACTGATTTTTATTAAGGTGACATCTTTGTTATCATTGTACTAATTAAAATAAATAGTATGTATTTTGAAGTAAAGGAAGTATACCATTTCCTTAACAGTTTATCTTAAAATGCATAAGAAATATGAAATAAGAAATATACCTCTGACTGAAAATAAAAAACTTATCTTAAAAAAGATAATTCAGCAATTCAGTATATATTTTGCCAACATCGTAGAACCATCAGAATAATTCATTTTGGGTTTAGGGGAGTACTAAATGACTTGCTGTTGTAACATGCTTATTTGAGTTTCTTTTGAGGGGGCCAGCAGGAGGGGAGCAGAGTAGTTGTTTTATTAACATAATTATAAGAATTTCAAATTATAAAATGGGCAAATTAGTTTACTAGTTTGTACTTTTTATTAATAGTAAATATACTTAGATATAACTGCCATTTAATATTTTTTTTAAAAAGAGATGAGTATAAGGTAGAGAAATAAGAAATGGTAGGATTATGCCTTAGAGTGTTTTGGGGGTTTTTTTTTACAGATCATTTTAAAAACATACCCTAGAAAAGAGTGGTCCAGTGAAATTTTCTCTCCAGATGATAATGTATTGGGGAAATGCGGTAAAAATTAGAAAAGATAATCTGTAGGAAGAGTTAAAAGGGCCATGTAAGTAGGTAGTAAAGTTAGACTCATTTAATCAACATGTATGTAGACAAATTATATAAACCATCAGAAGTTTGAAGAACTCCAGCCTATATGTTAAAACCTGGGGAGCAGTTATCAGGCCAGGAAAATAGCGATTCTGAATTCAGACTAATGGTTGTTCCATGTCAGCATTCTGTCTCTGACACAGAGACCATGGATGCTATCAGGTAGTTGCTAGTTGACTTCTTGGTCCTTGTTTTCAGGATTCAGATCTACTCCTAAAAATCTTAATATTCCTTAATTAATTCATCATACTCTGTATCCTATTAATTTATGTAATCATTTTTTAAACTTTTAATTATCAAAAATTCTCTGCCGCTCCTTGGGATAGGGAATTCTAAAAGTTTTCTATCTCCTTTTAATTTACTAATTCTTCCTTTCACTTGGCCTCAATTATTCAAATTTCAAAGGGTTTTCTTTTCATTGTAGCATTCTTGCATTTGAAAAGCTAATATAGGATTTATTTTTTCTGCTTTGTAGCCATGACTATAGAGCTGACTTGGGGGACCCTTTACTCCAAAACCAGATCTAGTTCTTCCTTAATTTAGAATTTGCATGTGAGACTCAGATACTGTATGGTTCAAAATATAATTTAGATTTTAAAGTAACTGCAATATCTTTTTTAAAAGCAAATGATATATAGGAATTGTCACTTAATAGCAAATAAATCCTCTCTCACAAACTAAGTCATAGTACTTTTAAGTTGGGAGGATTTTTCTGTTTTGAAAACTTTCAAGGAAAGACACAAATTTAATACTAGAGTACCTAGAAAATGAATAGCAAGCCAAAATTTAAGTAACATTTTAATATCAATTTAGGATTCAGAATGAGTTTACAAAAGAACATTTCATTTAAGACATATGGACTGTCAAATTTAGGTTGATATTTAGTTTCCATTAGTGATTACTGAGAAAGGTCTTAATTCTGTCTTTAGAGTTTACTTTGTTTAAAAGTTGTTTCATGGATAGTATGTCTGTTGAAAATTGTTGAGATTAATTAACCTCTTTTTTGAAGCTGAAGTTATCAGTTTAAACTAGGTGGTAGTAAATGGTTCACAAAGTCAGATATGTTCTGAGGGTAGATCCATGACCTTATGAGATTGACATCATGGCAGTGAGTCATTTTTTCTCATAAAATGTTCCTTCATGAATCATGTCTCTGACCTAATGTGGCAGTTCTTAGTTATCAAAAAATTAGTTTTAAATCATTTTCATTCTCAATGTGCCATTCTCTCATGATGGCACAAATTGTCGTAAGCGTCCTGGATGTTGGTGCAAAGCCTACTAGAGTTTCAGAGTCGGCCAGGTTTCCCACAGATAAAGAAATCACATGCAGAAAATACAGCTAAAACTGCAGTTAAATTGCTAAAATCATAGAATGAAATATTGTGAGATGTGGAATAGATCTTATGAGTCATTAAGGTAGCCCTTCCATTTTACAGATTAAGAACTGAAATATAGAGAGACTAGTAATCCTGTCTGTATCTAGGTAATAATCTTTGGGTGAAAAATTGGAGTATGGTATTTAATCACAACGTGTTTTTATTGAAATCTATTTTGGGGGTGATTTTTGTGCAGGTGTAGTTCCAGATGGCACCTATGAAGTATGTTCGAGGACTACAGGACAAGCAGCAGCTGGTAGGTTCACTTTCAGTATTACTTTTGCTACATATGTAAGGTAGAATTCTTCCTTTATTTTAATGATGAAGGATCTTTTAGCTAAGCTAATTCTGGTGTTCACTAATTTAAAAAAAAAACTATTTCACAATAATATTAGCATATTTGCAGTTATTGCAATTATTAATTAGATACCTATTATGTACCAGCTACACTGCAAAATGTTTTGGGAAAGACAAAGATGAATAAGTTATATTTTCTGTCTTCCATACATCTAATTTCTGATAACGTACTTACGGCACATACAGCAAAATTACATTGAAGTAACTGATAAATACATAAAATATAAAATTCCAATTGCCATTGAAATGTACTGGAGGGAGAGAATATTTCCAAATATGGGACAATAAGCTTCATGAAAGAACAAGCATTTAAACAGGGACTCAAACTATGGATAAAATGTTCCTTAAGCAAAAACTGGGGTGCTGTGGGCCAGAGGAAATTCAAGCAGAGAGAATAACATTAATCATGATGTTAAAGTTCAGTGTCTACTCAGTGTTGTCCAATTTGGCTGGAAGAGAGTTATGCCAAAAATAAGGGTGGAAAAATATTAAATGTCAAATTAAGGAGTTTGGACTTGATTTGGTGGGCAGTGGGAAAGCCACCGAATGTTTTTGAACAAGAAAGCAGATGTTGACACTATCAAAGGGACACTTTCAAGGATTATAGACCAGAAAAAGTCCCAGGAAACCAGTTAGGAGATAACTATGAAAGTAATAACCTGATTTGACAAAGGTGATAGCACAATGTAAATTTTCATTATTTCACTTGTAAAATTGGACAAAGTGAGCAAAAGGGAGATATAATTTGAGAGATTGTAAAATGTTGAGAGGGGTAGAAGCTAAAGTTGATCAATTTCCTGTATCTCCTTACTATTCCCTGTCATCTTCCCTAAGCCTAGCCTCTCAGTGCTTATCCTAAGTAAATTTTCTCAGAAAGTACCAAGGCCTACAGTCCCCACTGACAAAGAACTGAAAAAGTTAGGAAATTTTCATTAGCAATTAGAGGGAAAGGGTGGTGACTGAAGCATATATATTGGGAGAGAGGTCACATAAAAGTCTTTGGACTCCTGTTTATAAGTGACAGCAACCCACTCAAACTAGCTTAACCAAAAGGGGGAGCTTATTGAAATGATATTTGCAGATTACAATTAAATTTAGGAATGGCTATGTCAGGGAAGACAGGAACCAGGTCAATTCCGGGGCCCTTAGGACTACTAGAACCAAGATCACAGCTGTCACCAGGACTCGTTCCAGCTCTTGTCTTTGCTCCTCTCTGGCTGCTGCTTTTCTTTAAATTTTGTTTTGTTTTCTGTTTTTTAATTTATGAAGTCTAGCCGCTTAGCTCACTTGGGAGAGCATGGTGCTGACAACCACAAAATGAAGGGTTCAAATCCCCTTTCCAGACCTAAAACAAAAAACAACAAGCAAGCAAATGATGACCTTTTTCCTTACACATGGCTGGAAACATGGCTTCCAAGAGCTCATGAGCCTCATTTCCTCGCCCTCAGTCATAAGAGAAGGAACAACTTTTATCTTTCATCTTCACCTGGACCAGTTACCTAATTAATTCCAGCTAATGACCTAGGGTGATAGCAATTCCTGCTATAGCCATGGGAAGGTGGATCAGCTTGAGGGCAGAGGAGGGAATCTATAGTTCCCAGGAGAAAGAAGGCTGCTATACAGAGGAAATAATAGATGCACACTCTACCCTTAGGGAAATCAATCCTGTAGTCTAATGTTTCTGACATATCTAGTTGTGAGAGTCATTAGTTATTATATATGGCCATCGTCCATTTTATTACTTAAGTTTAGAATTATTGAAATTCCTAAACTTAGGACTGACCAAAAATGCCACTTTTTTATTTAAACAGAAAGTAGTAGTGCTGGAACCTGGACACTCAACGTATTGTGGAAAATGTGTGGGATTGATGTCCACATGGATCCTAACATTGGCAAAAGGCTTAATGCTCTGGGTAATACCCTTACAACACTGACAGGAGAGGAAGACATAGATGACATTGCTGACCTAAATTCAGTTAACATAGCTGACCTGTCAGATGAGGATGAAGTTGATACTATGTCTCCCACTATCCATACTGTAAGTAAACTCACTGTTAGAATTTTTCAGGACTGGCTTATGTCCTGAGATAGGGATATTATTAATTCAGTGTTATTTAGTATATTATAGTTACTATTTGTGGAAGAAGGAAAGGGAGTGGCAGTTCCCTGTGTCTACATTTTATGATATTGTCTCTTAATTGAGTTCTGCGTTTCATAATGACTGTCATCCAACTTGTGCCTTAACCTGTAACATAATAACATTAAAAATTAAGTGCAAGCAAATCTATAGCAATTGAAAGTAGAAAAGTGATTATCTAGGGCTAGTAGAATGGGGAGTGGGGCGGGGAAGGGGAATGGGAAGAGACTGCTAATAGTTATGGGTTTTCTTTTGGGCTGATGAAAATGTTCCCAACTGAGATTGTGATGTTGTTCCATAATTTTGTGAATATACTAAAAAACCTTTGAATTGTACATTTTAAATGGGTGAATTTTATGGTATGTGAATTTTATCTCAATAGGGTTGTTAAAAAATGAATCTCAAAAAAAGCAAAGTACACCCACCAAACAAAAGCATACATTTTCAAAATATGTATTTCTATCTATAGTATACATTCTGTAGTATCAAGTTGTTTGGTAGTCAAAAAGAAAGTCACTCTCTGCTTTCATTCTAGTATTGATTTTTTAAAATTATTTTAAACATCTTTTAACTATTGTACAATGAAATAGTTTTGTTCTTGGAAAGAAATTTTTAAAAAATTAATATTACTGTTTATTATTTAGAATTCAGATGGAAGTTCAGTAAGTGGAGATGGCCACAAGCTCACCTTTGGGCAGCGACTTGTAAATCACCTGCTAGGCCTGACGCCCCCAAGTCAGCGCTATTCTGTTCCTGCAGAGTATCTATGTGACCCAGAGATGCGGGGCTCCCCTCAGTCTAGCCACTCCCATTTGAAAGCATGCAGAGCACACTCATGGGGAAATGTAGGTAGCAACTAAACAGATTCCTTATGAAAATGAAGGGATATCAATCAATGGAGAATTACAATCATCTTACTTAATATAGATGGCTTTGATTCTTGCATGCTTACTTTGATTTAAGGTGTTAATTTTGTGATAATTTAGTTTTGCTGTGTGACCTGAGGGTGGTATTGACAGATACAATTTGCTTTTGATTTTTCAGGAAGCTGTAGATTATCGAAGACAAGGAGCAACTTCTGGCCAGCCAGGAGAAATTAGAGGAAGAAAAATTATGAAGCGTATAGTAGATATCAGAGAACTGAATGAACAGGCCAAAGTAATAGATGATCTTAAGTATGTATAATGATTTTTAATTTAATATAGTCTTCCCTAATAATAGATTTATAAGATGTTAAATGTAGAGGAAACTGTATTGGGCTAAAATAAACCCTTTAGTTTATCAGTGAGATCACTAAGGTACAGAGAAGTTTAATAATTTGCCTAAGATCATAAATTCATTAGTGATGAAATTAGGCTAGAAATCCAAGTCTAGTGCTCCTCACACCTCCTCACTTCTGAGCAGTCAATGACTGACTTTATATCATATATACGTGTCTGCACATGTGTGTATACATTTATACATATCTTTACATGCGTATGTAAATACAGGGGTACTTCAAACAGTTGATGAAAAGATTTGTATTATCTTTCTATTTTTTCATGAACTTTTTGAAGTGCTCTTGAATATGCATTAGTCTTTTGCTAACAGTATTTCCGAAATGCAATTTTTTAGAGGAGAAAAAATATAGCATTTATGAAGTACCAATTGTGAGTTTGATATCTTTACATGCGTATGTAAATACAGGGGTACTTCAAACAGTTGATGAAAAGATTCGTATTATCTTTCTATTTTTTCATGAACTTTTTGAAGTGCTCTTGAATATGCATTAGTCTTTTGCTAACAGTATTTACGAAATGCAATTTTTTAGAGGAGAAAAAATATAGCATTTATGAAGTACCAATTGTGAGTTTGTCTTATGTTATCTCAATTTAATCCTCACTACATTTCTGTAAGGTTAGATGACATTATTCAAACTTTATTGTTGAGGAAACTGGCTCAGAGAAGTTAAAGAATTAGAATTTAACTTGTGTGTGTTTGACTTCAAGATTCATGCTTTTTTACTTTTGCCTGCCTGTATTAGCAGTTCTCTAGAACTGAGGTGGGGGTAGGATGAGTAGAGAGGGGATAGTAGGTGGTAGTAATCTTTTTTCTGTATCTGTTGCCTATGGATAGTACTAAGTAATACTTCCTCTGTAAGAATAAATATTCTTCTTGCTAAACTTTGAAATTCTTTTTCCCCAAAAGGTGATGGTCATGCTTCATCTTTTCTAATTTATACACTTGTACCTGTGTTTTTGTACATTCAAGGACTTTACACAGATATATGCATTTTGTACAATGAAAGGTATTGCTTAAAAACTTGTCTGTAAATTGTCATACAGTGACTCACATTTTCCTGTTGACTTACATTACAATTTGAGTTTTGTTCTCAGGGTAAAAAAATGACTTGAAGCAAAATATTCTCTTCCTCTAAACTCTTACCTGAGGTTTATATTATATGTAAAATTTTATATAAAGACATTTTCCTGTAGAGTGGGTCTGTGGTTTTCATAAGATTGCCATAGAGACTCTTAATACAGCAATTGGCAAGAATCACTTCCTCAATCATCAGAGTTTTTTTTACAGTTTGGCAGATACGAGTGTTGAACTTGCAGAGGGTTTTGGCCTGTCCATACATAAAAAATCAGTCTCATTTTGTTCTTTATAATAATTGCCATATTTGTTTTGCATCCAGAAAATTAGGTGCAAGTGAAGGAACCATAAACCAGGAAATTCAACGTTACCAGCAGTTAGAATCTGTGGCTGTGAATGACATTCGAAGAGATGTTCGTAAAAAATTACGGAGGTCCAGTATGCGAGTGAGTAAACGTTTAAGAAAAATTTTATTAAAGTAGATTTTTAAAAAAATTTTTTCATTATGAAACTTACTTATGATATGTTTATGTTCTCTTTTTTCTTCCAATGCTGGTGATAATACCATCCGATTTATACATATCTATCAGGGTACTTTAAAAATTCATGGAAAGATTTGCATTATCTTTTAATTGTATTTTTCCACAAACTTTTTGAAGTGAATGTACCAGTGCACATTTAAAGCAACTTACATTTAAGAATTCATTAAATCCTCACAACCACCCTATGAGGTACCTTGCATTACTTCCCCACTTTAAAGATGAGGAAACTGAGATGCAGAAAGGTCAAATGATTTGACCAAGGTTAAACAGCCAGTAATCCTGTTGAGCAAAGATTCAAACCCAGGCAGTGGGACTAACCATGTTTTGTCTGTCTTTCATGAACTCACACTTACTTTTTGATCTCCAGTGTTAACTCTGTGAAATATGTGAATTCTTGTGAAATCTTTTGAGATGTCTATTCTTACCCTATCCCATTCTCTGTGGTCAGCATTTACCTTTAAGCCACTTTGGAATTTATTCTTATCTTTATTTTTTAGCACTTTATTCTTATCTTTATTTTTTGTAGACTTAGTTGCCCTCACTAAAGTATGAGTCTAGTAATGGAAAAACTACTTTTTTAGAAAACCATTTCCCCCTTTTCTTGCTTGCTTACTTTATTTTTTAATTTAATTTAATTTTTTAATTTTTTTGTCAGGTGGCTGGTACAGGGATCAAACCTTGGACCTCGGTATTATAAGCACTGCACTGTAACCAACTAAGCTAACCGGCCAGCCCTATTTTTTTAAAGACAATTTTTTTAGCTCAGTTTTAGTTTCACAGCAAAATTAAAAGTACAGAGATTTCCCGTTTACCCCCACCCTCACACATGTATAACCTTCCCCATTACCAATATCCCCCACCAGAGTGATACATTTGTTACAATTTGACCTGCATTGACACATCATTATCACCGAAAGTCCATAGTTTACATTAGGGTTCACTCTTGGTGTTATACATTCCGTAGGTTTGGACAAATATATAATGACATGTATCCATCATTATATATAGTATCATATGGAGTAGTTTCACTCCCTAAAAATCCTCTGTGCGCTACCTATTTATCCTTCTCTCTCCTCCCTCTGGAATCTACCAATCTTTTTACTGTCTCCCTATTTTTCCTTTTCCAGAACGTCACACAGTTGGAATCATACAATATGTAGCCTTTTCAGATTGGTGTCTTTCACTCAGTAATATGCACTGAAGTTCTCTCTGTGTCTTTTCGTGGCTTGGTAGCTCATTTATTTTTAGTGCTAAACAATATTCATTGTTATCTACTGAAGGACATTTTGGTTGCTTCCCAGTTTTTTTTTTAATTAATTAATTTATTATTGGAACATAGTTGATTGTACATATCTATGTGGTACAGCATTGAATATCAATACCTGTGTGCAATATGTGATGATCAAATCAGGATAATTAGTATATTCTTCAATATACAGTGTAATCGATTTTAGTGGCCCTTTGACCAATTCTTCTCTTTCTTCCCTCCCCCTTTCTCACCTCTGGTAACCCCAGTTCTGTTTTCTTCTCTTAAAAGTTTGATGCATTAATGTGACTGTTATATCTTTCTGTCTTTTTTAATTTGTTTATTTGTTTATTTTTTCTTAGCTCCCACATACAAGCAAGGACATGCAGTATTTCTTTCTGTGCCTAGCTTATTTCACTTAACATAGTTTTCTCTGTTTATCCATGTTGTTGTGAATGGCAGTATTTCATTCTTTTTTATAGCAGAATAATATTCCATTGTATAAATACACAACATTTTCCTTATCCAGTTGTCCAACAAAGGACATTTAGGTTGGTTCCAGCTTTCGGCTATTGTAAATAGAGCTGCAATAAATATGGGAGTACAGGTGTCCCTTTGACATGATGATTTCCATTCCTTTGGATATATACCCACCAGTGGGATTGCTGGGTCATATAGCAGTTGTGTCTGTAGTTGTCTGAGGAATCTCCATACCATTTTCCACAATGGCTGCACCATTTTACAGTCTCATCAACAATGTAGGAGGGTTCCCCTTTCTTCACATCCTCACCAGCATTTATTCTCTTTTTGACAACAGCCAGTCTAACCTGGGTGAGATGATATCTCAGTGTGGTTTTGATTTGCATTTCCTGGATGCTGAGTGATGTTGAGCATTTTTTCATGTGTCTGTTGGACATTGTATATCTTCCATTGAGAAACGCCTTATTCAGCTCCTTTGCCGTTTTTTATTTGGGTTGTTTTCTTATTGTTAAGTTGTTTGAGTTCCTTGTATGTCCTTTGTCAGATGCATAGTTTGCAAATATTTTCTCCCACTGTGTAGGTTGTCTTTTTGCTCTGTTAATTGTTTCTTTTGCTGTGCAGAAGCTTTTTAGTTTTATATAATCCCATTTGTTTATTTTTCCTTTTGTTGCCTGTGCTTTGGGTTCATCATATTCAGAAAATCTTTGCACAGTCCTACTTCCTGAAGTGTTTCCCCTAAGTTTTCTTTTAGGAGTTTTATAGATTCAGTATGTATATTTAATTCTTTAATCCATTTTGAGTTGATTTTGGTATATGGCGAGAGATATAGATCTAGTTTCATTCTTCTACATATGGATGTCCTGTTTTACCAGCACCATTTATTGAAGAGGCAGTCTTTTCCCCAATATACGTTCCTGGCGCCTTTGTTAAAGATCAGTTGGCTGTAGGTATATGGGTAGATTTCTGGGTTCTCTGTTCTGTTCCACTGTCTTTTTTATGCCAGTAACATGCTGTTTTGGTTACTATAGCTTCACAGTATAGTTTGAAATTGGGTAGTATTATGCCTCCAACTTTATTTTTTTTTGCTCAGGATTGCTTTGGTTATTCAGGGTCTTTTGTTGTTCCATATAAATGGTAGGATTGTTTTTTTCTATTTCTGTGAAGAATGTCATTGATATTTTGATGGGGATTATATTGAATCTCTAGATCACTTTGGGTAGTGTTTTAGTCCATTTAGTGTTGCTATAACAGAATTACCTGAGACTGGGTAATTTATAAAGAAGAGAGGTTTATTTGGCTTACAATTCTGGGACAGCTGCATCTGGCGTGGGCCTCAGGCTGCTTCTACTCATGGCAGAAAGTGGCAGGCAGCCAGCGGGTAGAAGCAGATCACATGGCGACAGGAAGCAAGAGAGAGGAAGCAAGAGAGAGAGAGAGAAGGTGCCAGGGTCTTTTTAAGTAAGGAGCTCTCGCAGGAACTAATAGAGCAAGAACTCACTCATTAATCCCCCCTCCCCCAGGGAAAGCATTAATCTATTCATGAAGGATCCACCCCCATGACTCAATCAGTTTCCAACACTGCCGCATTGGATATCAAATTTCCACATGAGTTTTGGAGGGGACAACACATCCAAACTCCATCAGGTAGTATGGACATTTTTACAATGTTAATTCTTTCAATCCAAAAGCATGGAATGTCTTTCCATCTTTTTGTGTCCTTTTTAATTTCCTTCAGCAATGATTTGTAGTTCTTGTGGAGATATTTCACATCCTTGGTTAACTTTATTCCCAGGTATTTTATTTTTTTGATGACTACTGTAAATAGGCTAGCTTTCTTGATTTCTTTTTCTGTTAGTTCATTGTTGGAGTATGAAAATGCTACTGACTTTTGCATGTTGATTTTGTATCCTCCAATTTTGCTGAAATTGTTTATCAACTCTAAGAATTTTTTTGCTTCCCAGTTTTTGCAATTATGAAGAAAGCTGCTATAAACTTCTGTGTGCAGGTTTTTGTGTGGAGATAAATTTTTAACTTCTTTAGGTAAATATCAAGGAGTGCAACTGCTTGACTGTATAGGAAAGGTATGTTTAGTTTTCTAAGAAACTGCCCAGCTTTCCTCCATAGTGGCTGTACCATTTTGCATTTCCACCAGCACTGAATGAGAGTTTCTGTTGCTCCTTATCCTTACCAGTGTTTGGTGTTGTCAGTGATCCAGATATTAGCCACTGTAATAGGTGTGTAGTGGTATCTTGTTTTAATTAGCATTTCCCTGATGACATATGATGTAGAGCATCTTTTCATATGCATATTTGTTATCTATATATCTTCTTCGGTAAGGTGTCTGTTACAATCTTTGGGTCATTTTTTAGTTAGGTTGTTTCTCTATTGCTGTGTTTTAAGAGTTCTTTGTATATTTTAAATAGTCCTTTATCAGGTGTGTCTTTTGAAAATATTTTCTCCCAGTGTGTGGCTTGTCTTCTCATTCTCTTGACATTGTCTTTTGCAGAGCAAAAGTTTTTAATTTTAATTGATTTCAACTTAAGTAATTAATTTACTTAATCAACTTAATCAACTAAATTAATTGATTTAATTTAATTGAGTTCAACTCATCAATTATTTTTTTCATGGATCATGACTTTGGTGTATCTAAAAGTCATTGCCATACCCAAGGTCATCTAGTTGTCTCCTATGTTATCTTCTAGGAGTTTTATAGTTTTTTCTTTTATACTTAGATCTATGATGTATTTTGAGTTAATTTTTTGTGAAGGATATAAGGTCTGTGTTCATGTTTTTTGCACATGGGTGTGCAGTTGTTCAAGCACCATTTGTTTAAAAGACTGTCTTTGCTTGATTTTATTGCCTTTGCTCCTTTGTCAAAGATGAGTTGACTATATTCATATGGGTATATTTCTGGGCTTTCTGTTCTGTTGCATTGATTTATTTGTCTTCTCTGTTGCCAATATTACATTGTCTTGATTACTGTAGTTTTATAGTAAGTCTTGAAGTGTCAGTCCTACAACTTTGTTCTTCTCCTTCACTGCTATGTTGGCTATTCTGGATCTTTTGTCTCTCCATATAAACTTTAGAATCAGTTTGTTGATATCCACAAAATAACCTGCTAGAATTTTGATTGGGATCACATTGAATCTATAGATCAAGTTGGGAAGAACTGACATCT